TTAAAAAAGAAACCTGGTTTACTCATAATTTGGTTAACCAATTAAAATTCTTGAGTAAACCAGGTTTGGAGGGGTTATAAACCTTTCAGGGGGTGGGTGGGTTAGAACCCTTAACCCCCCCTGGCCACGGCTCTGCCTCCACCACATTCCTGGGCAGAGAGTTCCACTGCTGAACAGCTCTCACTGTTAGAAAGTTCTTCCTAATGTTCCAGTAGAATCTCCTTTCCTTTAGTTAGAAGCCATTGCTTCACATCCTAGTCTCCAGGGTAGCAGAAAACAAGCTTGCTCCCTCCTTCCTATGATTTCTCTTCACCTCTTTATACATGGCCATTGTGTCTCCTCTCAGCCTTCTCTTCTGCAAGCTAAACATCCTAGCTCTTTAAGCCACTCCTCATAGAGCTTGTTCTCCAGACCCTTGATTGTTTCAGTTACCCTCCTCTGGACACATTCCAGCTTGTCAACATCTTCCTTCAATTGCAGTGCCCAAAATGGGACACAGTATTCCAGGTGTGGTCTGACCAAGGCGGAATAGAAGGGCACTATGATTTCCCTGGATCTAGACTCTATAGTATTTATGCAGGCCAAAATCCCATTGGCTTTTTAATCTGCCACATGACATTGTTGGCTTATGTTTCACTTGTTGTCCTTGAGGACTCCAAGATCCTTTTCACATGTACTTCTGTTGAGCCAGGCATCTCATTTCATTTTTTCTGTCTTAGTGGAGTATCTTGCATTTGTCCCTGTTGAACTTCATTTTGTTAGTTTTGTGCGAGTCCAAAACACCTGGAGGGCCAAAGTTCTTCTATTCCTGTTCTACAACGTAGATGCATGCTAAGAAGCAATGTCCTGTGCAGTGAACAAGAAAAGCAACTCAATGTGTCCCAGAAGGTTTTTTTTTTTTTGCTCTGGACTCAAAGCACACATGCAATGAAATAAAAAGGTTAGGTGGGCCTTTAGATAACCATTTCACCAAATCCTATTGTTAGATCTGTTCAGAGCAGAATTTTGGACTCAGTTGGATTCTCCTATATGTTTATGCACTACTCGGCACATAATCGTGTTGGGAACTAGTGACTCCTATGGCAGATAGTTAATCCACTTCAGGTTTTATCCAGAGTTCTGAAGTCTAATGTCTAAATTGGTTCAACACCTTTAAATCTATCTAAAATTGGTGGTGGATTCACAGTCCCACTGACAAGCCAGTAAACAGTCATCATTGTCTGATTTGTTGGCTTACTTTAGTTGAGAATAATCAACAGCCCCACATTCTTCAATGGTGTTCAACTGTCCATCAGTGCATCCAGTGTCCCCCCCCCCTAAAAATACTGAAATCACAGAAACAGCCTCTAATGGAATTGTAGAAACATCTACTGGGAAAATGGTCAGTTTTGCAGCTTTGCAGTTTTTTTGTGTGTCAGGAGTGACTTGAGAAACTGCAAGTTGCTTCTGGTGTGAGATGTTGCCCAGGGGATGCCCAGATGTGTTACCATACTGTGGGAGGCTTCTCTCATGTCCCCGCATGAGAAGCTGGAACTGACAGATGGGAGCTCCCTGGATTTGAACTGCAGACCTTTCGGTCAGCAGTCCTGCCAGCACAAGGGTTTAACCCATTGTGTCACTAGGGGCTCCTAGTTTTGCAGTGCTGATACTCAACAGAAGGGTGGTCTAGCATAAACAATTTAAAATAACTTAAGTGTACATTTAATCCTATTCAGATATAACTCAACTCTGGGCTGGCATGGGTTAAAGACTGCCTTGGGTCCTGTATGGAATAAAAATGAGAAATAAGTAACTAAATCTGTTTTCTTTTCCACAGCCAAGTGTCCCACTCCACCACAACTGGGGTCTTTTCTTGTCATAGTTCATGACTTCCTTTCACAGCTGTAATCTCTGTCAAAGTTCCTATTTCTTAGTGTGGTAATTAGCATCAATGAAAAGCCTCCCAAGGGTCAAATGGGAGGTTTTTAATTATTAATGCTAATTAGTGTATAGTGGAAGAGTTGGGAAAGATTGACTGTGCCCCTATTCCTTGCTTCGTGGTGCAGATCAGAGCTTTCTTAGCATCACATTATCAACCTTAATATGTGGTTGAACCTTAACAACTTGCATGGCCATTAGTGATCGGCTCAAGTCTGTGCCAGTTTAATGTTGGCTAATTAGTTAACTAATGTGATAGTCATCCTTCTACACCCAGATCAATTTTATGCTACAGATCTCACTGTTTTGGCAGACGCCCTGAATTAGGTAGAACTTTCCTGTGTGTTTAAACAGTATTCCCCTTTAACAGAACAAAAACCCCAGGTGGTAAGGAAGGATAGCATGTTTAGATGGCGGTTTGGAATGTGAAAGTTATGTTATAATACTTATAATTTCACACAGTTGTCCCGTTTATTGTAGCTGAATATAAGGGTGGGGAATGTCAACATATTGTTAGTAAATAATGTTGTCATTAGTGTTGTTGAAGTCTTTCATGGTCGGAATCACTGGGTTGCTGTGAGTTTTCCAGGCTGCATGGCCATGTTCTGGAAGCATTCTCTCCTGACATTTCACCCACATATATGGTAGGCATCCTTGGAGGTGGTGAGGATGTCACAACCTCTGAGGATGCCTGCCATAGATGTGGGCAAAACATCAGGAGAGAATGCTTCTGGAACATGGCCATACAGCCCAGAAATCCGCATCAACCCAAAGTTGTCATCTACTATTGGGGTATTTTTATCTGTCTACATTTTTTTTCTGCAGAAGGAGTATCCTCTGAAGAGATTAAAATCAGTGTTTGCTGAGACTTTTGCTGCAATTGATACGCATCATACTCAGAACCAGAAGTTCTTGCTATGTAAGCATATGGCTTTCTATGAAAGGAATGTGTCTGGCTGCAGTACCAACAGTTCAGATTCAATCAAGTCCAGAAGCAGCTCATTACATTCTGTAGCTAATGATAAAATGGGTTTTGAAGAGCTCAGCAGTAAAGGAAATGGACAAAAACACGAAATTCAGAGACTTCCTGGGATGGAACAGTTGAAAATGCAAGAAGATGCAAGTACCACAGATGAACGGACACATAGAAAATACTTGAGTGTTGCCTATATAGCTAATAACTTATGTGATAATATTGGCATTCCTGAAACACAGAAGCTCAAAGATATTGGAAGTTGGGATGAATTATTCCTAGATAAATATCTTGTTGGGGACAGCATAAAGGAAACTGGAAAATTCATCCTGGATCATGACATTGAAACAAGGATGGCTCAAAAGAGGACAGAAAAGGATGATATAGATCAAAATATTGGCAATTTTAATTTAGAGCTATTGCATTCTGATTTTCTACGCCCCTGTGTAACTGACAAACATAGTCAAGAGCATTCTGAAATATGGAATCCATATACTTTTTTCAAAAGCAATCCATCATCTTTTGCAAACAAGATTTTACAACCTGGTCAAACACTCAAGTGTGAGAAAGAAAGAGAGGATATTATAGTTTACAGCAATATTAGAGAAGGACATGAGGTAGATCATCACAATACAATAAAGAACAACTCTCAAAACTCCCATACTACACAGAAGGATGATGATCCATTTGTGTCTACATTAGGTTCACAGAAAAATGAAGCTTATTATTGGGCTCCCCTTGATAGTTCAGATGAGGAGTGTAAGGATTGGACAGATGTGAAGACAAACGGTTTACAGATAGCAGCTGCATTTAGCAAGAACATCAAAAGCTCTTGTGATATTTCTGACATTTTCAGACCAGAAGAGAGGAAACATTTCAGCTTCCAAGTGCTGGGAGGCACGCCTTGCTACACAGAATTATTTCATAGCAGTGAAGAAAAATGGAATCCAGAAACTTTGCAGATCAAAGACCACAAATCCAAAGATTTCAGGTGGGCTGAAAAACCTGAAGATTCCACCAAGACCATCAATAATGTGGAAGGCCACAGTGAAGAGGCTATGAAGAGAAGCACCTTTTTCAATCACAGGTCTAAGGTGAAAAAAGATCTATCAAGGGATGGCATGTTAGATTTTCAGCCTCTACAGGAAGTCCCAGATCAAAGAAATGAATCTGAAGCAGGGTGTATGCCAGAGATGGAAAAATATTGTGAAGGGAATAAACATACTAGAGAAGGTGAAGCCAAGAATACTTGTCACAGAGGTAACTGCAAGAAAGGCCAACGGAAAACAGAATTAAAATCTCAGAGGAAAGAGTCTTTTTTGCAAATGAACAGTTTCTGTGGGAATATATCACCAAACCCTTCTGAAAATAGTACTTGTAAAATGGGTTCAGATTTTTTGGATCTCACTTACAAAAGTACTGGCTTGTGTACTAACAGTGATTGCATTTTGTTAGACATAGTGCCTCAGTTTAATGATGAGAGTATGGCACGTATATCCAGTATAGGTCCAAGATGCCTGCAAGGTGATATGAAAGAAAATATATCTGAAAGGGCTGTCAGATCAACTGTAGATTTGAAAAGTGATGCTGAGTTGCTGCTCAGAGACAATGTCAATCAGAAGCAATTTAGAAAGGACAAATCCCATTCTGATGATAGTGTTTTGGCTAAATATTATTTCTACTTGAATTATCTCAATAAGTCCAAAAGGCTTCAAGATCAAGAAGGTGATTATTCATTCTTTTGTCAGCAATCTTCTAGTGAAGCAAGCATTTGTCCCCTTTGCACCTCTAAGAGTAGTAATTTGGATGGACAACAGGCTGAGAAATATATGAGCAATGATTCCGGAACTTCTGAAATAAGTTGCCACAAGGACAAAAGGACTGAGGCTTTAAAGCAACAAAGTCATCCTGAACAACAAGAACCTAAAGCTCTGTTTGCAAGTATGAATCCCAAGCCTCTGTCTAATCTTGCACGGAATTCTACCAGATTAGGGAACCCATCAATTTTGAAAGGTAAATTTAAACTAATGTTTTCTAACAAAATTGTGATGGATTTGAATAACTTTTAAAAATAATGTATAGAAATAATTAGAATGTCAGAATTGCTCTTATCATAAGGAGGCTCTTCTTAATATTTATCCTGTAGTTTTAATCCATTGCTTTGTGTGTTTTTTAATCTCTGGAGGAGTAGAAAACAAGCTTTCCCCCTTCTCAATATGACATTCTTTCAAATATTTGAAAATGGCTGTCATTCCACCTACTTTACCAGGCAGCAGCCATTCTGGGAGGTCTCCTTTGCTGCTGATTAGGCTACAGTAAGGATGGCATTTCACCCTCTTCCATCAGCAAGTGAGACTGCAATAAGGATTTGTGTGGGAGTCATGCTTCTGATTCACTGTCTCATTTCTTGGAGTGGGTGGAAACACCATCATTCTGTGCTCCTGTTGCCGTCTGAAATGACATCCATCTCTTCATGTGGCTGCTGCCTGGTACAATAGGTTGGAAGGGCATTTAGAATTGTAGCGACACTGTGACAGTTGTGACCACATAGCATTGGTGAGTATTGAGCAATCATGGATCCATAACTCCAGGTTATGAATCTGTTGTTGCAATACAGAATGCTAGTCATAATTTATTGCTGCCTAGAAATGTGTGGTCTACACCAACATACAGTCTCAAGCTGAATAAGTAATTCAGGATGGAGATGTGTATGCACTCACCAAGGAGTAACCTCTGAAATTAGTTAGACTTCTTTATGGCAAAACATCTGTAGGCTTGCTGGTAAGGCATTGCCCAGATGTTGCATGTCAGGACTTGGGAAGGAGTAGGGTCATATCACTGTTATTAAAAGTTAAGGAGATCAGTAGGAAAGGACAGCATTCTGTCATTTGCCAGAATAACATAATGCCTGCAGGATGGGGCCGATTTTTTTAACCATTAGAGATCCAACAATAGAGTTGACATCTAGTGAATTAATGAGAAAACCTTTTCCATGTTTTTATTATTCTTATTAACATTATGCAGAATTCTGAGAGATATGAAATAATTTTTAGCTATACTGACATTCTGTGGGACATCTTTTTGTAGATAAAGAAGTGTTCAAGGCAAGGAAAATTGCTACAAATATGCTTTGTCCTCAGCGGCACTGGGCAAGAGCCAGCATTGCGTGGTCGGCTTATACACATGGAGAGGTGAAGCCCAGGTTTGCTCTTTATGTTTTTGCATTTTTCTCTTAGGAACCTCTTGTGTTTTATTGCATTCATTTTGTACATTTTTGAATAGAGGAAGTTTTTCCCCTGCATGTAAATAAAGTAACCTCCTCCAAACCTTCCCCAAATATAGCATAGGGAGTCTGTATTTGCTGTCATGGAAGTCCTCTACAGCCTTTTAGGACAGCTGGTTGGGTACATCAGGACCATTGGCCTTTGCTTCTGGAGGCTGTTACTGTTTTGCCCAACCAGAAATGTCTCCAGCTTTGCTGATCACAATCATGTGATCTCTAGAAGCAGTGTCACCAACAAGGCCCTGCTGAGGAGCTGTTTGAAACTCTTTGACTGACAAAACTAAAGTGTTGACATGGATGTACCCAGGTCAGCTCAATCCAATTGTCCACACTTCAATAAAAACCAGGGTCATTATGTAATTTCCAGGAAGTAAATTCCATTTCCCCATGTTTTGGAATAATGGAGCTTCACTTTGCAGTTTGTTTATCATGTTTGCTCTGGCATACTAGCTTCTCGGGTTTGTTTTTCTCCCAATTAGCCATGGATGAAATTTATAAATAAACCTAAATCAAATTATGGATCCTGACTGGTTTGTTGGGAAAGAAACAAACCAGAGCCATAAGAAACCATAAGCAAATGATGGAGAGAAGCTCTGTGGTCCATTACATGTGTGCTCAACAGAGTGACTAGTATATTTATCATGTTTTGTGGTTTCCTCTTTGGAGGGAGGTTTTTTGTGTGAATTAGAGTAGTCAAGCAATTAAAAATATATCTTTTATCTCTCTTTTAACTAATTATATTAAAATGAAATGAAATATGTATTACAAAAGCTGCAGCTGGTGTGTTTTTTTGTTTTGTCCAGTAAACAGAAACCTTCATTCATAGTTACAAGAAAAGGTCATGTTTAATGTCTTGTTTCTCCTTTCTTGCAACAAAATGGGGGGAAATCCCTCAAAAATAACCAAGTGCAACTTCAGTTTGTTGTCTCTCTAATTAAAGTAATTTCTTACATAAATATTTCATAATGACTAGAATGCTTGTCTTGTTCTCACTGTTGGGTTTCAAGTTTCCAGTGTTGTCATAGATAACGATATGTCTAAGGTGTCATAATTGTGGGTCTGTTGAATTTACCTAATTAGTTTGAGAACATGCTCACTCTGTATCCCTCCCCTTATGCACTTTAATTTTACAGTTCTGTTTTGGCTCATTACTATAGGTTTCTGTGGCATCCATGAACGTGGTTTCAAATCTTAGTTTAAGTTGCTTTCAAAATCACTGTATTCATTTGTCATGGGAAACTGAAGAAAAACAGATGATAAGTGACTTGAAGTTGGGCAGATAATGAGGGGAACATGGAGAAAGTATGCAGCCACACAACACATTTTCAGCCTCATAACCACACTTCACCACATCTGAGATCTTTGTATCAAATCTGGGCCTAAGAATATTTGGATATTCCCAGAATGAAAAAGGACTAGGAGTGTGTTTCTAATGACATAGTCAGGTGCACTTATCATTGGTCCATTATAATTCTGGAGGAGGGTTTTTGAAATTTTATTTTGTTTGATTCGTTCTTTCTTGCACTAGATCACAGCATATTCAAAAACGTGCCACTGAAAATGAGGTAATAAGGAAGAGTAAGTGTAAATCCCCGAGATGTACATCTTCAGGTTAGTAAAATTTAGGGTGCCTCCTTGTACAAAATATGTCAAAAATTGCATGCTTATCTTATTTCCCATATGTTGAATAAACACACGCAGAAAGTTGTCCTCTGTTTTCTCTTAATTTTCTCGATTGAGGGGAAAGACTCAGCATGCTCATTGAAACATTGTTGGCCTGAGTCCTTTATGAAAGTTATGTGTTTGTAAGTGGATTTATGTATGTGGGAATTAGAACTGGACTGTTTTATAACGTCCCATATGCAGTAGAGGATCATTCTTTTACTCTGTAGCAGTCAACAAAGTGAACACTGCACTTTGGGACCAAAGCACTCTTGTCATTACCCTGATACACATTGTTGCAGTTCACTAACAGGATCTTAAGGGAGGTTCGCCTGGTGTAATTCTAGTCTGTAGTTACTGAATCCAGGGCTGTTGTTCAAATGGGCCGGGATTACATCTGACCCATTGGGCTGCCACCTCCTCCCTGTTTGCTGCTCCATCTGCGCTCCAGATCATCAAGGTCACTTCCGTTCACGTCAGAATGCTATTTGCATGAGCAGCAAAAAGGAGGGGATCAATCTCCTCCTCCCTGGTTGCATGGATGCCCTGTTCTGATATCAGAAGACATGACTGTGACCATGTAGACAAACCCTTACGTAAATATATAAAGCTATGTTAAGTTATAGGATTCTCACTTACTATTACATTACTATCTGTGTATTTTCAAGGAGCTCAAGTTGGTACACATGAGCCTGTATTCAGGTGTGTCACCATGCTTGTACAACGTTCATTGGGCTAGTCAGCGGCTATGAATTTTCAGAGTTAGCGCAGTGGCCATATCCAATATAGGTTTTATTTCACAGGTGTTTTTAGCATGCTGTTGTTCCACTTCTTTGCACAACTGCTATGACAAAGTTAGTACCAGTGGTTTTCCCCCTCTGCTTACAGATTTAGAATATGGTTCTTTCCCATTCCCCATAGTTACTCCTACAAAAATACTGAGAGACAGTGACTGATTTATGGTCACCTTGTGTATTTGTAATGGATCAGGGATTTAAACTTGAGTTTCTCCAGTCCTTCCTGCAGAATGTCTCCTGCATGCAACCCAATTTTGCCTTTAGCTAAGTGCATAGCAGTCAGTGTGTGGAGCCAGTGGGATCCATCTCTGCCTCTGTACACAGAAAAAGGGTGAGAGTAATGCTAATGAGACTGCTAAGGCCACACTATTATGTATATAAGGGCAATAGTTAAATCTTCACTTTAGTATGATGTATATGTAACCAGTTTGATTGGAAACAATAAGGGCAATTCAAAAGCCAACCAATTGGTAACTATTCATTATTGACTGAAACAAAACAAATAAAAACTTCATGGAGAAGGGGAAAAATGAAGCCATTTGTTATGAAAACAGTGTGAGGCCCAGTTTGTCACAGTCACAAATGAGGTAGTAAAGGTGTGGTGGATTGTTCAAGCTACAGGTGAAAAGTTCAGACAAAGGACTGTTCCCTCATACAGAAACATTGTCTGGATGTAGAGAACTAGAAGCTGAGGAAAGGATAGCTTTCTTCCTTATAGAATACCCTCATAAGGAATTTCTTACATGGCATTGGGCGTTCTCATTCTATAGCGGCACCCACAACAGCACATATGCAGCAACACTTTACCTTTTTGAGCTGAAAATCTTCAAGATATAAACATTTGGGACATATTAAGATCTTTGAAGAGCCTATTCTGGGCATATTAACCTGACAACTTAGATTGGTTTGGAACCAGTTTGAGGGAAACCGGTTTTGCTGTGTGGATGTTGGAACAGGATTGAGATCAGGAAGGTGCTTACATTAACCATGGAAAGTGGCTTCAAACTGGTTCCATAATCCATGGTATCTGTGTCCTGACAGATGCTGGAGAACATAGTTTTCCCTCACTTTCTAGGTGAGATGCACATCTGAGATCTGGAGGACAGGGGGAAAGGGAAAGTGATAGCAGTGGTAGTAATCAGTTTTCAGTCCCAGGGGATCTGTTTGCCCCTGCTGCCCAACTATTCTCTTTCAGCATCTTTCAGCAGCCCTCCTCTCTTCATTTCAAATTTTAAAAGGTGCTCCAGTGCAGGTGAATGTCTATAAAGCACTCTGCATTCTGCAAAGCTGATTTTGCTTGTGGATCCTTATACACATGTAGTAAAAACCTAGAAATATCTGGAATAAAAGGGGTGTGGCAACTAAATTACATTTTGGGAAAGTCCATGCGGAATCAGGTTAACTGCTGAAAAGCATGTGTTAACATTAGATTCTGCCCAAAAAATCTGCACCCTTGTATGACTGTATATCCCAGGAAAACACATGACTTCCTTCCAAGCCCCCTGTGTGGACTGCTCCAGTGCACCTGCACTGATCAGGCTGTCAAAAAATGGACCATGGACACTGGTAGCTCAATCTAAGCACAATTGGAAAGCTATTAAAACTTTCTGCAATCATTCCTTTGCTCTGATCTTTAACCCTAAAAAAACCCACAAACTTCCACTGGATGTCCCCAGACCTGCGGATTTGTAGGACGACGGGGGACTATGTCCCGGGACTGACACATCTGTGTCCTAACTTGCTGTCAGGTCCTGGGATTTTTAAGACCCCGAGACTTTGCCTCAACATTGCATGATGAGCTTTACAGGCCTCGTGTAAGACGCACTGAGTCCTTCGGGAGATGGTAGCGGGGTACAAATAAAGGTTTATTATTGTTATTATTATTATTATTAACTAACACTTAGGAGGCATACTTTTTTAGCTACTGCAGTTTCATGTTACTATTGCTAGCCTCCTTGAGTAAGACTTTTGTTGGGGAGGGGAGTAGACAACCATCAATTAATTAAGTAAATAAATTATTTTGAGGAGAATTCTGAGGGTTTGCTGTTTCCTCCCACAACTTTGATCATGTGCTGTGTAAAATCTTTAACTTCCATCACTTCAGGGACAGAATCCAAAGAGCATCAGAATTCTGCTGTTCAAGTTGGTGATGAAATAAATTTGGTAAGCATGTTATCTAATACTGGCAAACTTTTGTTATAAGTATGTGTGTGCATGTGCATGTGCGTGTATATATAAATGCAGGGTGAGGCAGCATAACTTCCTTTTTTTAAAATGCATGCCATTCAGTTGGTTGAAGACGTAGCGGAGAGCTAGTGGTCTCGTTTGAGAGGCGGGAGTATAAAGTTTTGTCCTGACACAGTTCAGTCGCCATCATGCGTTGGAACAGTGAGGAGCATGCTTTTGCCGTTGAGGCCTACTTTTCAAGTGGATTTGGAGTGGTCGGCCCGCTCTCCAGATTTGGCCCCTTGTGATTTTTTTCTATGGTTTTTTTTAATCCCGTGTTTATGTGATCCGTCCAAGGACCCTACAAGATTTGAAGACCAACATCCAGGAAGAAATTGCCAACATAATGCCTGCTATGCTGGCAAGAGTCATGACAAACGCCAGAAATTGGTTTACTCGGTGTATGCAAAATGGGGGACGTCACCTACCTAATTTGATCTTCAAAACTACGTAAAACAAAACTTTAGGTATGCTCCTACCTTATAAAAATAAATAAATTTCTGATTCATTTAATGGGTTTTATTAAGTTTTGAAAAAAGGAAATTATGCTGCCTCACCCTGTATGTAAGGGAGGATTTCTAAATGTTTTTCTGAACCTGGTAGAAAGAATTGCACTTGCCCATTAATTGTGATAGTGATATCAGATTGTACTGGATACCACAATCTTGTTTATATGTCCTAGGGCCTGCAATCCCCCCCCCCCCCCCGGTGACATGTATGTAGCTGCACATTGATGGCATCATCTTTAAATCAGTTTTGCCATCCATGCACATGCTGTATTGTGAAGCCAAGAATGCATATAGTGTTGAAGTATAAGTACTGCCTTTAGCAAAGCTTTGAAAAGTGTTATGTAAAGCCATTTTTTCTCTCCACCCTTTGTGTGCATAATTCTTCATGTGTGTGGAGTGTTACTTGTTAGAGCCCATGCTGCTTCTCAGGGGAGTAATAGACAGTACAACATAGATCTGTTGTATTTCGGTGCTACCTGCTTGCCCTGAAGAACATGTCATTCTGGCTTTAGTCAGGCCAAACTCTTACGAAGTTACATTTCAACTTTTACATTCCATACCTGTCAATCCCTGATGACATCCTGGCTCTTTTTTCTGTTCTGTACTGAATTTAAATGTAAACAGATGAAAAAGACCTTGTCAAATCAATTGTTTACCAATATACACCAAACTGTTTCTCATAAAGAAAAAGCTGAATGCATTTGCTAAATGAACATTTCTTTAAAATTTTCAGTTAAGTTTGGTTTACTACCTGCCTTATTTTGGGTTTTTGCCATTTCCTGTGTTTTTGGATTTGATTACACTTGGTGTTTATGGTTGTTGTTGCCATTCTTTGTCATAATACAGAGCAATCTTTTAAAAAATTATTTTCAGAGAATACAAGGTGACTATGACCTCCTGCCATGGCTACTTCTTCCTGATGAATTGTGGCTTTGTATCTTCTCTCTGCTGACTCACAAAGATATTTCTCAGGTTTCCCAAGTCTGTCACAGGTTTTACCAGTTGGCTAAAGATGAATCTTTATGTAAGTACATCAAAATGATTGAAATGGAATAATGGAAGGATGATAATTAGGGAGAAATTGAGAAAAACTCAGTTCAGTCTAGTATGCAAATTCAGTTCCAATTCAGACAGCCGGAGTAAATATCTTTCTTTCCAGACTTAAGCTATCAAATTGAAACAGCTTAATTAGAGCTTAAAAAACAAATATGCTTTATACCTTTTATAAGCTTCTCTATGGGGACTCTTACATTTTTTGCCATTGTTGTTCTTTTCACTTTCAGTGTTTGTGTATACTGTACTGTTTCCAATAAAGGTTACAATCTCAGACTTATCTGGTGAACAATTGATAGAACTATTTGTGGTTCTTTTTTATGAATACCTTTTTGAATAAACAAAATGCTTTTGTCAGGTTCAAAACAGCAATCTGCAAAGGGATGTTTTGTTAGACATAATGGAATATTATCTGGGGTTTTTGGAGGAAGTTGTAAAGCCATTATACTTACAATTTTGTTCACACTTCAGTCTTATGATCCACTAAATGAATAAATCACAGAGATGGTGACTGAAAATTGAAATTCTGGCTTAGCACCTAATAGGTTTTGTAGTAGCATGGTCATTGCTTTGCCTGATGCTAACTTGCTGCCCACCTGAATGCTGCAATGAAGTGGCAAAGACACCAGAATGCATTATATTAGCAGGAAGAGCCATGCCGTTGCCTGTGCCTGAAGCTTGCAGAACTGTGTAGCCTGGACTTATTGCGTGTCTTTATTTCAGGGGCATTTCCAGTGCTAATGTCTCTATGGGCCATTCCAAATATGGCCCAAAATGGGGGCCCTGTCAGACTTTTACCAGAGGCATCCAAACAATGCTTTCAAGTAAAAGAGGATTAATTTGGGACAAGGCAGGTAAACTCTGCTTTATCCCAAATTAATTTTATACTCCACTATATCCGGGTCTTCCGAAAAGGCCCAAGTCTAATGGGGTATGGGCTCTGTGGGGACTGACTACTGGGTGGTCTCACGACTACCCAGGGGTCAGTCCCCACAGCCCATCTTGGTTCTTCAGGCCCCATGAGCCCGGAGAACCAAGGAGAACACCCGTCAACCACCCCCCAAAGCCCTTAAAATAAGAAAATTCTTGCTAGGCCACCATGACACCTCTCCTGAGGCATCCTGGTGCATAGAAATGATGGTCAGGTGGTGAGGGGGAGGGGGGATTGCTCGTACCCCTGCCTCCTGGTGCATCATTTCTACATGCCAGGAGGCCTCTGGAGAGGTGTCATGGCAGATTTCGGGTGGCCCCATGCAATTGCAGTACTTACCACGATGGCATGGGGACAGTTGCCTGGGAAAGTCTGTGTTTTGGGGGAGGTGTGGGGACAGAAATGTGCACCAAAATGGGTTTTTAAAATCCTGCTTTGGTGTGAAATCTGGAAACACTTTATGTCTCTAGGAAAAGGTGATTATTCTCTGTACTCATGTTTAAGTCTAAATAAAACCCAAAAAAACTGGCTTGATATATTTATGGATCATTGTGAGTACCGAAGTTTAACACACACACACACACACACACACACATATGAAAGACAAGAGCTAAGTCTATCCTTCTATCTTGACTGTGGGGACATATCTATACAGGAAAATGGTGGTGGCAGCAGTTCTTTGAGAACGTCCCTTCAAAGGAGCACCAAGACTGGAGACAGTTGGTGCTTCTTTTAGGTTATCCTAAGATGGACTAAGTCCTCTGTGACGAAACACCAAGGAAACACAGTTATGAATTTTTGGATGGGGGGGAGAGTTATATTTTATTATCCCACCACTGCCACCATTCATTATATGTGAGGCACCACCATTAAATATGTGGCACGACACCACACCCAAACGAACTGGGCAATGAGGAGAGTGAATAGTAGAAGTATGTGTAGCATAGCTATGACTGAGCACTTTAATATCTATCTATCTATCTATCTATCTATCTATCTATCTATCTATCTATCTATCTCTATGTGAAGCTGGAGACAGAGACTAGTAGGAGGCTTGTAATGAGAGAGGTTTGACTTTTAAAATAACTTGTCTGAGACACTTTAATATGTGTAACCCCAATACCATAAACTGAATCCTGTTCCAAAATACCTTCAGCCATCTTCCTTGAAGTAAATCTTCACTTCAGAAACTTGATACAAGTCTTTGTTGTAAGAAATTGAGCAAAGAAATATTTATTTAAGGATTCTCAGGCACCCAAAGCTTAGTGGTTACGCAGTAGTTTCTTCTCAGTATTCTTTAGTTATAGTTAACTTTTATTATCATGAACACTTGAAACAGTTTCCATATAACTTCAAGAATGGCTTATCTTCTTGTCAATCTGACTTTACTAACTTGCTTTACTTTAAAATTTTATTCTTTCTCAGAGTACACTTCTATTCTCAGTTCCACTGACTGACACTTAGGCACAGTTTTGCCTTTTATTTTACTTCAGCTCTCCCACTGAAGACACACAATATTTCTGGGAATTCCTTTCCCCTAGCTCACAAGCTAGTTCCTAATTCAAAACTGGTTCAATTAACACTCTAAATTTCAAGGCTGAAGACAAACTCCTTGGTCTAGCTCTAACATAGCCAGAACCAACCTTCCTTTGGCTAGCCGGCCAAAGACTGGCTAACATTTTAAAATGTCCGCTCTCCTCCTGTTGGCAGTTAGCTCTGCCCCTTTGTCTCTTGAGCTCTGCTGAAATAGATACATTTCTACTGCAAATTTAGTTACTTTGACAATGCATAAGCCAAGCAGCTGTAGCTTAAGCAGGCCTGCCTTTGCAATGTATGAACCGTAACATATTCAAAACCCATAGTATAATTAGATATTTCATTACACCCCCCTTTTCACCACTGTACTAAGAAAAGGGGATTGTACGTCTTTTTAAAAATACTTTCCTTTAACTTTAAAAATTGAATTTCTCTAACTAGAATGATGATGGACCTTTTTAAATGTTGGGACAAACATGGCACTGGTAGCCAGGGGCGGTTGACCTTTGACATGGCATTGGTACTCTCTGCTCTCTGCGGAATGATCTTTGACTGATCATATCAAAAACCTTAATTTTGCTCCCAGTACCTGCCCTCGACTTATATATGTAGTTGACTTATATATGGCGGAGCCCCCGGTGGTGCAGTGGGTTAAATCCCTGTGCCGGCAGGACTGAAGACCGACAGGTCGCAGGTTCGAATCCGGGGAGAGGCAGATGAGCTCCCTCTATCAGCTCCAGCTCCTCATGCGGGGACATGAGAGAAGCCTCCCACAAGGATGATAAAAACATCAAATCATCCAGGCGTCCCCTGGGCAACGTCCTTGCAGACGGCCAATTCTCTCACACCAGGAAGCGACTTGGAGTTTCTCAAGTCGATCCTGACATGACAAAAAAACAACAACAAAAAACAAAACTTATATATGAGCACTAAATGTGTCAGCAAGCTAACTAGATCAGAGCAGCAGCAAATAAAAGCTACAGCCAAAAGTTTCTGCCTCAGGAGGACTGCAACATCTGGATGGCCTGAGAGGCTGTAATGGACTGACCAGGGCAAGAGGATGCTGTCTCCCAGTATCTCCTCCCTAAGGTGGCCCTCCTATAGTGGTAATACTGGCCATAAAATCCCCAGGAAATGTTTAATCAGTTAGGATCAAAAATGAAAATCTAGTGAAAAAACAGAAGGGAAATGACAGTAGAATTGGCAGAAATGTGGAGGATGGGATTAAGTACACTCCGCCTTTCCATTCTTCCCAGCAGATTTCACTTCTGCCATGCCATTGGTGTTTCCTTAGTAGCTGAGAACTGTGTGAAAAATTGCTTGTTTCCTAGGAGCCAGCATATCTTTGTTAGGCTCAGTTACAAGTAACAAAGCGTGCATATTTTCAGTAACAGACTCTGGAGAAACATTTCTGTGCTTATCTGACAGATTATCTCCTGAAGTTCCAGTGTTTGCTTTAAAAAATTGTCACCTTATCATTTTCACATTATTCTTGCCACAGTGATTAAAAATGTTGTGTTTTCTCCATCGAGCTCCCTAAGGAGAAGCTATTTTGATGACATCTCATTTTGAATAGAAATAAAAATTGCAAACATTTTTTTTACCCAAGGGAATGCTTTCCTAGGCATTTGCAGATTCTTTTGTGTGATTCTATGTCTGGCTTCTCCTGCCAACTGATCACAGAATAGCACTAGAGGAGCTCCAGGTGCCTATGGAAATCCTCTCCCTGGGAATCTCTGGATCCTCAAATATGAGACTATGGCCAACTTCTGCTGGAAGTTGGATCATCCTAGAATATGACAGCAGCACAGGCGACAGCAAATACAGTAATCCAAGGCTAATCAAATCCATGAATGCTTAACCTCAAATGTGGAGTGTTATCTATATATCAATTAACAAAAAATATTTTTGCAATTGTTTTTGAAAACCATGTAAAGTTCTTAGAAACTAACAGAGAGCAGCCCTTTTCATGGTACAGAATTATGGAGATTTTGTTTAAAATTCCCCAAGGAAGAAAATTAATCTCTTATTAAACAGGTGAAAGTCTAAGAAAAGATCCTAGTTACTCTGATAGCAAATAACCTGTGGGTCACCTGTTGACAGCGTGTACTGCTAAACTTGTGTCAAATTCATTCCCACAGTAAATTCCAAGCCAAATACTTACCGCCTTGAACAAACAGAGGTGTGCAATTAGATACAGCCAAGTGCTGCATTTCAGTAATGCTATGTAAATATTCTAGAGCTCTCACTATGTTTGTGTGTTTTAATAAACAAGGAGAACATGACGTGCATTATATTTTTTTTCTTTGAAAGAAAAGGATCCAGTCTGTTTTTAAAGTAGCTTGCAGTAGAAGAAAGAGGAGAAAGATTATGGCAATAAGAGAGATGCATTGTGTTATATGTGAAATCAAAGAAATGAATGAAATAGCTGTCAATTGTTGTGGTTTCCTAGAGGCTTTCATCACTGATTATGTGGGGTTTTTTTTATCATGTCAGAAGCTACT